TGTTCTGGAGTGATGTGTTTTTTGTCTTCGCAAAACACAGTGAGATTCGTGAAAATCAAAATTTAACCCATTTCAAAGATATGTTATTTATTCCAAATGGATAAATCAATGCTACTCTCAGTATCTTAGGCTCTATATGAGTCATAGGTTGACCTTTGGTAGGTCTTTCTATGTTTTTGCGCTTATAGCTGTGAGCTTTTTAGAGTATAACTACCAGATTTATACAGTTTGAGACTAAAAGCTTCTTTTTTTTTCATTTTAAAATAGTTCAAGTGCAATGAGACCTGATTCAGGGGACTTATGGAGCATTAATCTTAATGTGTGATCAGATATTCTTAATAAGGTTTGATTTTAATTGGGATTGGGTGAAACTAACTGATCAATATGCTTTGACCTCAACCTTACCTTTGGGAACTAAACAGCCAAAATAATATTCTTATCTATCAAAATAATTAAAATGGAGTGTTTGTTTCTCTCCTATGTTCATGAGTGTATGAAATCAAACACCTAGGCACTCGGACAGGAGAATGCTACTGTTCTGACTGTATAATGTTAAGTGTAAAGTTTGGTGCAGGGGAGATAATGCTGTGGGGATGTTCTTATGGATTATGGCCTAGCCTTTTAGTTCCAGTTAAATGAACTGAGATTTCCGACAATCCTATGCTCCCAAATGAGTGGAACAATTTGGAGATGGCCCCTTTTTCTGCCAACATGAACCTGCACAAGATCCATAGAGACCTGGAGGCTGCAGGGTCCTGACCTCAACCAACAGAACTCCTTTTAGGTTGAATTAGAGCAGATACTGAGAGCCAGGCCTTCCCACCTAACATCAGTCTATCACCTCAAATATGCATTTTTTTTTAAGAATGATCAAAGATTCCCATAAATAGGCTCATAAACCTTAAGGACAGCTTTCCTAGAGGAGTTGAAGCTACGCAGAGTTCGATCAATGCTATACTGAACGCTGTAGAAAAATGGGATGTTGCTTGAGTCAAAGTGGGTGTGAATTATTTTGACAATATTATCTCTTGAGGCATGTTTAGAGCTCATGTCCGGTTGGAGGGTGATCCTTAAACAGTGGTAAATCTTTGTCAGCCTCTAACAGGTTTTCTTACAGCGCTCTTCTCTATTTAGCTCAATCCACCTTCTTAATCAGTCTGACCAGCTTTTTTTATGCTTTGCTAAAAAAAAAATTGCCTGTAGCTCAAAGTTTACATTTCAGCTACTTCAGGCTACCTTTCTGGTGACTAATTTCCTAACATGTCTGCATTGCAACAGTCATTTTCTCCATGCAGCTCTTTAACCAGTAGTTGTGGTGATATATTCCTCTCTAAGCTGTGGGTCTCTGATGCTTCCAAATATTCACTGTTTCGCTGTTGTTTCTGTAGGTTTGCTGTCTTAAAGTAATGTTTGTTAGATGTTTAAGGTTCTTGTTACCAAGTCCTGCTTTAAATTTCTCTAAAGTTTTTCTCTCTGACCGATCTGCTTCCTTTTCCTGATGCTGTTAATCTCTAATGTTCTCTAACAGCCTCTGGATCTTTACAGAATTTTACTGGAACAACCAAATATAGAGATTTTTTTTTTTTGGGTGGAGATAACCTTTTGCTCTACTAAGGGAAAACCAAATTTTTTTCCCAGGTAACCATGGCAACCCGGCCAAGCTTAGACGCATGGTACGGAGCACGGGACTGGGCGTTGGAGCATCCAGCAGCAGCGGGAGCAGAAGGATGGATCAGCAGGCAGGACTACGAGGAGAAAGGCGGTGAATATCTGAGCGAACACTGCACCTCTAATGTCTTCGTTCCCCTGAAGATCACCAAACCGGTTCCTGCTCGTCCCGCCGAGCCGCCTTTGGCTTCTCAGACGCCGACAGGAGCATCTGCAGCTGTAGCAACAGTCACATCTGCTCCATCCTCATCCACAGATGCTGCTGACATCACCATGGTCGCCTCTTGAAATACTGAGGTTATTCAGGACTGAAGTGAGACTTTCCTCCTCAGGATGTAAATTCATCCACGTCTGTAGGAATTCTGGTCAAAACCTTTCATATTGATAGGTGACCACATTTTGAGGTCTTGTGAAAACATTTTTTTCTGTTTTTGTAAATAAAAATAACATTGTTTTGTAAGATCCTGTTGATACAGATATTTTTTTTTAAATAAAGTTGAGTCTCTTTTACCTTTAAGCCCGTTTTTTTAAACTTTACGTTAATTATTATACAATCTGTTTAATTTTATATAAGAACATAGATCATTTTTTAGGAATGAAACACAATTATACAGTCTTTGCTTTTAGGAGAAGATATTTACTGACTACAGAAGAGCAGCAAGCATATAAACCACAAATTATAATAATCCTATAAACCAGACACACTGCCTTTGCTTACTCTTGTTTGTCTGAATGATCTCAAATTGAATTCAGATTATTTATTTTTGCTATTTTAAAAAAAACATAGCATTTTCTGAACCCATAAGTCAGACCTTGAGTTTCTTTTCCCCTCTCAAAACCATCAGTCCATTCATCATGTCACTGTTATCAAGGAGAACCAACCGTTTTATATGGAATAAAGAAATAATATGTTGCAGTTAATACTTGTCATCACTAGATGGCGAAAGACAACACAAAACTGATGGAAACTGCCTGCTCTATAAAACTACAGATAAACGAGCTTTCAGTCTAATATGCAAGAGTGAAAATGTTGATTTTAGTTTTTGGTTTAACATCACCACTGACGTCAAAGAGAAACAGTTTATATCTGACTGACTGGGTCGTAAAGCCGTCTAGCAGATGCATGGATTTCATTGTTCCTTGGGGATCATGCAGCCGGCCTGATGGGGTTTAATTGCATTATGTGGAAAACTGTGTCAGGGACCAAGGTTAAGACCAGCACTCAGCCTGTTCTGCTTCTCCTCATGTAGCATTGTGGCAGTCAAACACACACGCTTTAGAGAGGCCCCCATTCCCACAGCAGGGTCTGATTGAGGCTAATAGGAGCTGCAGCATGCCTGTGACTTCTACATGATTCTTTGAACATTACTTCATAGAGATTAAAAGGAGACACATTTTAAACTTAAGTGTATCTGCATCTCTACAAAATTATCCTTTCGTTTCACAGTGTTCTGCATGCTGATGTTCACCTGTCTAAGGGATGGCAAGGTGCAGAATGTTGCCCTGTTAAACAGCATATTCCCTGCTAGCACCAATCACCATCATCATTATGTGTTTCCAGAACACACAGTGCAGCGGGAATACTGCCCTGACTGGGGCTTGTGTTTCCAAACAAGGCTGCTGCCACCGAGTTGGCCAGTGTCCAATTAGGAGGATTTGTTTGTGAGCTGTAGGGTTGTAGGTCAGCAGGAGCAGCAGACAGGGATGAATTAATGTAATACAGACCTGTGCAGGAGAGGAGAGGCAAAGTAAAATGGTGAGACAGAAACCACTGAGCTTTTCTTTTAAAAGCCATAAGGTCTTGTTTCTTATGGGAAACCCGGTTATCTTTGCAGAGTTAATTCCCAACATGCAGAGTGTATGCATACATCTGACCCTTAGCATGGTGGGCAAACAGTTTCCTTCATTTTGATCTAATGCAACCACAATATGCAATGTATTTTATGTATCACTTTGTTGCAATTTGAAAGATTTGTCAGAAAAAAAAAGATATATATATAAGCAAATTTTCTTTTTAATTATAACAATGTCTTCCACTGGAATGGATATAAGTGTGCGGTCCTAATAGGATAAAATAAATAATAATAATAAAAATAAAACTTGGAGTACTTTTTAAAGTATTAATACATAAATTACCCAAATTAGATCCATTAATGTCCTATCATCTTGCTAGACAGCAATGCAATTTGGGAAACGAATTCCCAACATTTTTGATTCTGCATCACCCAAAAAAAAATCACTAACATCCCTGACCAATGCTCATATGACCAACTATGCTCTATTTTTCAGAGCACTCCTCTGTGGTCGCTGTGGTATGTCACAGGATGGGATGAAACATCTCTGAAGTTGAAAGAGGGTCACTTACAAGCCAAATTGGATTTTATTTGTCTTCACATCCAATTAAATGGATTGGAAATGAATCACAGACACTGGTTCATTGAGCAGACTGGGAGGACAAAGTGTTTTTCACATAAGTGAGCTTAAGTCTGACGATCTTCTGAGTTTTTCTTTGTTATCAATTACTGACAGACATTTCTCAGCAGTGTTTGTAATAAAGCTGAATGAGGTGTTTCCCTTCCATGCATCTTTTCTTTTTTACGTCCCTCAGATTTCTTTACCGGTTAGTCAGTATAGATTTCCCTGCACCTGCTGGGAAAATGTTAATTTGAAACACACAAGCAGCAAAGCCTTTGAGTGTGTTTTTCCCCCAGAAATAATGGTCACTAAGCTGTGTTGCTATGTTACCAAACACTCAGAGTTTGAGTAGGTCTGCAGCAACGTTGACTGGCTGTCAGCCTGAAAAGGTGCAGAAACAGGGATTGAGTGTCCAAGCCGACAGCTGCAAACATGATGCATGGAGTCTTAAATAGGAGGGTTTCTGGAGAGAATGCTAATTATCTGAAAAGCTTGTGTATCTTGTCTGAGAAATTTTCACAAAAACAAGTTATTTTATTTGTCAATTTCCTGTTACTATCTCTGATGAAATTTCAAACATAGATATATTCCCCTTGGCCTTTCTGAAGAAACTAAATCCTTTATTTCCTCTACTTGTGTCCCATAAGACTGGGAATAAAGAGAAAGGATGTCAGAGTTAAAATCGCCTGAGCTCTCTGCTGCTGTCTGCTAAACATCCTTTAAATGAACACCTTAACATCAGCCTTTCCTGGAATATCAAACCATGATGTTTTAGGCCTGATACATGTATGGTTTAGCTCTTATTGTATCCATCAGAGCTGAATGAGCCAACTGGGGAACAACAGTAGCTTTAATCAGATGAAAGCAGCCTCTGTCTGATCCCTCCTCCTTCTACCCCCCCTTGTCTTGCTCCATATGTAGAGAGCAACAGGTCCAAATCCTGCTTTGTGCACAGCCACCAGAAGCTTTTAGTTGGCCTAAACGGTTGACTTGGAATAACTCTATTTTATCCTCACCTCGTAAAGCTCTGTAAACTTGAGCCCTCATGTTTCGGGTAGTTGCAGAGCACGTCAAGCGGCACCCTGGGGTGAGTAAGCTTTATTTCTTTCCTGTTTGTCTCTTACGTTCTAAAAAGCTCTGGATATTTGAAAAGATTTGTCCTGCATTGTGCCATTTCCTCTAAACATGTTAGGAAAAAGTCTGAAAAACATACAGGGAGGATTTGTCACAAGTTGTTTATACAAATGTGTTTCAGTAAAACAATTATTGTTTTTAGCTTTTTGTTATAATGGGTAACAAAAGTAAATATGATTATGAGATTAAATCTTCATTTTTTTGTTTTAGATATGCATCTATTTGTTAGTACTAATTCAAAACTAGATCAAGATTAATTTCTAATAATTTTTGCTTGCTTTTTTTATTTATAGATTTCTTTTGCTAAAATATTGATAAACCATAGCAATCTGAATATATTTTATTCCAAAATCTGTAACTTAGGGCCGGTTAGGTAGTTACTTGCGATGTCATTCATTAATAGGTTAAAGCAGGAGATATGAGGAGAAGCCTATTTCTGTCTCTTCCAATCTTATTAAAGCTCTAATTCAGTCAGTTAAGTTGTTCCTGGAGTTGGTTTTTAAAATCAAATCGAGATAAAAGCAGCTCAAGGCGCCAATAATACATTAAAACTAAATATAATCAGACATCAGACCAGTTGCTGGCATAAAAACCTTTTTTGTAAAATCCTAAGTTTCTTCCCCACAGCGGTAGGCTGGGGGTGGGGGGGATTATTTTTGAATTTTCATCCATCTCCACGAGGGTTGACAGAGTGTTCACTTTTTGTCACTGGTCTCCCTGGAGAGGGAGAGAAAAGCTATAGGGATGAAAATCTAAGCTATCATGGTTTCTCAGCACAGTCTATCATCCTGGAAAACTGACAAACTCAGAGACAGGAACTGCAGAGACTAAATCCCTCTGAGACTCCATAAATCCACCTCATCAAGTTCACACAGAAGGAAAGAGACAGAAGTACAGACAGTTATAATGCAAATGTTTCCGTCTCAGAGACAAAAATTCCAACAAATACATACATTTAAAAGAGATGAACATAAAGAGGGAGAGAACAAAAGCTTGACGGAGCAATATCAGTTGAAATCGATGCTTTGCAGGAAATCCTCCGTTCTCTTCAAGTGCCAAAAATTAAAAGAACTAGAGCCTGTTTTTCAGTTAAGGGGTATGAATGCATATCTATGGCGATGCTTTGGTGAGGGAACCTGGAGCAACCGATTAAAAAATATTTTTTGTTTTTACACCTTTGAAATTTGACCTTTCATCTCCAGAGACCCTTTGCTCTCCTGCTAAGCTCAGCCGACCAGATTGATTTTAAGATTTGCTGAAAATAAACTCTTGGTTCAACCTTCAGAGCACCTTACTAAAAGTAATTAGCGTATCACAAATATTCATCACATCTCCTTCACATCTAAGCAGAGTAAGGCAGGGAACACACAAATTATACTGAGATAAGAGTAGCACTACTTCCAAATATATTCTCTCAAATAGAAAGTAACCATCCAAGAAACAGCTACTATCAGATAGCTAATTAAAACATCTGATGTAGTATTCAAATATTACATAAAGTTACCCAAAATATAACATTTTGTTCAAATTCTGGTAAGATAAAAAGAAATGTAATTACACAACAACAAATGCTGGCAGAATAACTTTCTCAAATGGCTTTTTTTTTTTTTAACAAAAATCGTATGTAACCAATAATTAGTGTGTAAATATGTGTTAGAACAGGGTAAGGTCTTCCAATTGTTTTCAATATGTTCACTTCACCTTCTGATGACGCAGAAGGTTCAGTACATATGAAATAACAATGATAATGAAGCTTCTGTGTAAAAAAGAAGTTTCACTCTCATATAATCTGGAAACAAAACAAGCCTGTTTATCATTCTATGTTTTTTTAAGTAGAAGCATTAAAATGTAAACTAGTCCTAAAATTAGATTTTTTTCTAAAGGTTACTGAAGGTAACTACTTTTCACCTCTATAGGACTGCTGGTGAAGGCACCCTGTTGGGCCATTAGCTGCTCTAATCCTCCCTGCTTTGGCTCAACTTGGGATCATGTGCCATTGACGTAAAGCTTTAACTTGTGTTTAGACTTATTTTGGGGGGCTGGGGGGGTCTGCATTTAATTTGTGGACATTTCTTTCTGCTTCTGTAACCCAAAGGCTGAAGGATGAGTCCGTATTTCATCCTAAATTAGGACAGTTGATGCCAAATTGATCAGATTCCTTGTGGACCCAACCAGCTAACATGGCATAAACTACACTGCACTAGATTAATAAAGGCATAAATAGGGTTTTCTTATGAGTATTTCATTAGTAATGATATAATAATGTCATTTGTAACTAATATGTTTTGTATAAAAACATCAATACATGTCCTAAAAACATGTTTGTATTATTATTATTATTATTGTTATTATTATTATTATTATTATTATGTAGTTATTGAAAATAGGAATAGGAAACAGAAATGACTTAGAAATAGATTTCTTGTGTTATTAGTTATTTAATCTCGATAAGGCCTCAGAGCTTCTGCTTTTCTTGTATGACCTTCAGAAAACATGTCTTTCAGCAGTTCTCTTAACACTAAGATATTTGTTTTGATCAGATCTCAGATCCTTTGCTGACTCAATCAGTCGATTGCCCTTTTCTCATCGGCCCCCCTTCTATTTAGTTCTTCCTGATAAAAAAAGTTAATCTAAATCTAATGATGATTTGCACACACGACAAACTTTTCAATTAAAAAAAATATCTATTTAAGAAATGAATGAATCCAAAATAAAATTCTCCCCTTTGAAATTAGGTACTTTATGTTCATTACATATAGATATGTGGGTATATTTAGCCTAATATTGGTTTAAATTAAGATAATGGTACATTTGAGGTTAGATTACATTTTTTTTAACCTTATAAAGACCAGAGTATTTAAATGTTGTAAAAGGTTTAATTTAATCTTGACATTACTTTATTTGACTTTATTTGATTATAAGAAATAGTTTCTGCAGGTCCCACATTAAGCAACTAATATAATGTGTTTTAAAAAAGTTTCTCAATGATACACAGTATACGACTAAATTAAAGCTCTAACTTTTGGGGATATGAACATTATCTTAACATCTTCTTGACCAATGCTCAAACTCTTTGTAAACCACCATGGAGCCAAAGTTGTTTATGTGCCTGGTGATGCATATTCTAGCATTTCTAGGGGTTTTGTTGGAAACACTTTGCTTCCCTCCTTTTGATCACAATCGTACCTAATTTAACTGATGAGTTTAACTTATACTTGAAAGTAAACTGTTGGTTTGTGCTCTAAGAAAATCAGTAATCATTCTGATTAACATCAACTTGTAAACCTGCCTAGATGTATTATAAAACAATTCTCTAATGTTTTATAATACATCGTAACACTTGACTTATGTGAGTTCCAGCTTTGAATTAGATATGAAATTAAAATACCCACTCAGGAAGGATTCGTGTGTGATTGTGCAACTTTTCCAAGTCTTTCCTGGATGCAACTCATAGCAAAAAGCATTTTATATATTTTAGAGGACAGTTCAGCAATAGATCCTGCAAAGACTGTTTGGCCAGAGGCAGAAGACCCCACTAAAGTTTTATAATTGTTTATTTTAAACATAGTAAAAAAAAAACAAACAAACAAAAAGCTTGTCAACAGAAGTAGATTTGCCACAACAAATTATCTTCTTTTGATTTTGCTCAACATTATTTCAGGGAAGTGTTTTTTTTTCTTTTTAAATTAAACTGCAAAAAGTAATATGACAGGATTTTCTTATTAAAATACAGCACAGTTGGAGCAGAACATTGAATGACAAAGAAGTATTTGTTCCCTGACATTGTTGTTGTTCACAAACTGTCATTTCCAGTCTTACATAACCTCACAACACTGTCAGCTGGCTCACTGGGGTGACAGGAGGCGATGGAGCTGAAGCAGGTCATTCATTAATCATCAGACCTGTAATTGGTCGGTTGTCCAGATCACCTGCCTGACAGTAGCTTTTAAACCTACCTGGAAGAGACCAAGGAGTTTTCCGATAAATCTGGAGGTGGACTGAAACTTAAATCTCTAATGTCTCTAAACATTAAAAATGTGTGAGATTGCCTGTCCTGCTCGTCTCTCTTTTGCTCTGTGATGGCCTGATGACAGTGGAGGTGGGTATAGAAAATAGATGAAGGTATATTCTTCTTTTCACTTTTCAATATGCACAACTTTGTTGGTCTAAGACAGGGATTGGCAGCTCCAGTCCTTCAGGGCTGGTGCGCTCCTGCTCCAACACATAAATCAAATGGCTGGATTACTTCTTCAGCATGCTGTCATATTCTCCAGAGTCCTGCTTATCTAAGGCCGTGTCTACATCCTACTCCCTGCTTTGAAGTGTGCACTTGGTCAAAGAGCAGATAAGGGCTCAGCTGCACATGCGACTTTGGAGTACTTCCTGCCTCTGAGGTTGTAACATTGAAAATGATAGGACCAGCCCCAGTTTTTTCATTTTTCATTTTTACTCCTTTAAATCTGTAACATGAAATCATTTTGTAATCAGTTTTGTAATCATTTCGCATTCTAAAGTTTACTCACCAGTGATGAGGACACGCCATATGTGCCCTTTTTTTCCCCACCCCATCCTTCAAAAACTCTGTGCAAGCCAATGGATTCAAGAGTTTTTTTTTTTTTTTTTTAGCAGGAACAAAGCTGAAGGTTGCAGGACACATAACCGTAAGGACTGGAGTTGCTAAAGTGATTTTTTATTCATAAAGCTCCACAAAACATGTCATCTCAAGTCAATTCAATTAGATGGTAGAAGTTGAAGGAAGCCAGAAAATTGTTGAAAAGCTGTATGCATTGAAATTTCATTCTCTAAACACTCTGTGTATACATGGCCTTGCAGATTGTCTCATCTGGGATCAGCATGTGGTGACAGTGGAAAGTTGCTAGCACTGTGTCGTTAATTTTACAGAAATGTTTCATTCTGTGCATGCATGTAGTGACAGTGGAGAGAAAGAACCCCCAACAGAATGAAAGCTCCAGCAGAACCAGGCATACACAAAAAAGATCACATAAACACACAAAAAATGAATAGCTAATAATGGATGATTAGTTTTGATTAGTTATTTCTGTCTAGACAAGAAACATAGTTAAACGGATTAGCTCTAAGCTAATTTTCGGGTCAAGAAGATAAAAACATGTAGCTAGTTGCTATAAAATCCCAGCCAATAGCTGTCTCAGGATTAGAACTGCACAGGAATAAAAAACAAAAGACTGGGCAAACTGCACATGAATAATATGAAGCTGTTCACAGAAGTTTGGATGACACCCCTCGACCATGATGATGTCACATCTAAATAAATTAACTTTGAAGTTTGCTGTGGTATATAAAACCATGCAAACAAATTAATTGATATGAATACTCCTACAATGCCCTGTAAGACCAAATTTGGTTGTATTTCAAACTATTTTGCAAAGTCTTTTGAGCATTAAACAGAAAAGTGTTAAAAATAAAAAAAAAGCTCATAGCCATGATAGAAGACTAGAACAATTTAAAAGTCTGCTTGGTTCATACATATTAGCTATTTGAGATTACCTTTTTAATGTTGAAGGGTTTTAAACAGAAACAAAATATATAATATAATAAACAAATAATAATTAATTAAAATAGATACGAAGCCCAAATGGAGATGGAGATGAGAGGAAAGATCCTGGAACAAACAAGAACCAATTGAGGGCTTAAATAAAGAAGAAAACAGGTGCAAGCAATAGGCAACATGAGAAGACAAATATAGAGGGAACCTACTAATTAACTGATTGCTCTGGCTGATAAAATAAGAAAAGGAAGAAATTAACTGAGCTTATCTAATAACATAGAATAGGTAAGCGAGAAAACAATGACATGCTTAAATGGAAACACAACTCATACCTTCCTGTTGTACATCTCGCTTCTTACTTTATTGTGCATTATTGCCAATATCAAAAATACTTCCTCCACAGTGAAGAAGGCAGTAAAAATAAACATGACATCATCATCTCAGAACAATATCTATATATAAAATTTACCTCAGCAGGTTTATTATTATTTTCTGTTAATGTATTCATTTGAATAAGACTTGAGAGAACTATAAAAGCTAAAAGTCTCAGATTTCTCTCTAATAACTTCCTGAAATGTCCAACTGCTTAGTAACAGCACTGGATATATTAGTCACAAGTTTATTATAAAAAAAGAAAAACATAGAAACATACACATGGTACTAAGGCAGTAAGATGCTGCTAAAAGCTATAAAAATCTAAACATTACCATCTCAATTTCAGCTCACACAAAGAGCCTTAAAATATGTTTCCTTTCTCTGCTGTGTGCAGAGCCAGTAGGTTGCGCTGCCTTGCTGTAAACATCAGAAATTACTTATTTTTGTCTTCCTCAGCTGATCCCCCAGTTCTTCTTTATCTGCCTTGGAATGGGTGGAGCCTCCCTGTACCTCATCCGGCTGGCCAGAGGACCACATGTCACGTAAGACCCTAAAACTTTTGCACTGATATTGAAGGAAAAACTGTGAAATCATAAATAATCTTCATCTGTTCTTTTTATAGTGCTTTATAAAAGTATTCATACCAACAAAATAACAATAAAAAACTGTAAGGTAGAGGATTAGATGGTAACATATAATCTGAAGATATAATAAATAAATGAAGGAAACCCTATTGAAATGTTTAACTTTGTGTAAATATATACACTTCTTTGTATTAATTTTGAGTAAGTATACTGATTATTTATTTTCAATAAAAGAAGCTATTCTAAAATGATATGCGTGATATAACATTTATTTTAAATATTTGTGTTTAAATAATGTGGAAAAAATGAAATTGTGATTTTTTATGTAATAGGAGTAAATAAAAGTTAAAACTTGGGCAAAAGGAAGACTTCATTTGCGTGTTTAATTAAGTATTTAAATCAAACACTCTTTTAAGTGACTTCCATAGAAAATCAGCTGTTTTTGGATTTTATTAGTGGGAATCAGTTAAAAAGGCTGGAGACTCTTTTTCAGACATTTGTTAGTGAATATCTTAAACCATCGAGCCTACATTTAAAACACATGTCCTGGTGTTAATTAATCTCATGAATCCAAAAACAGATATTTTTAACATGTAGAATAGTTTGGTTAATTTTCTTAATTTTCTTTTTTCCAACTGAAATTTATTTTATCCAAACTGTTTAGCTGCTAAGAACCTCTAGGATTGTAAATGCAGCTTCAAGCTTTTATTAAGCATTTAGTTTTCTAACATTTGCTCTTGGCCTGTCGATGTAGCACAGGGTGAAAGCAGGTTTTTTTTTTTTTTTTAGTTTTCTTTAAAACTGTAATGCAAGCAATATTTTACATAGAAATATAAGATATGAAAGAGCCTAACACATGCAACTTTTTTGTTTTGATGGATTTAGCTGGAACAAGACTGATAATCCTGAACCATGGAATAATCTGGACCCCACATACCAGTACAAGGTAATCCAAATCACTCACAAAAAGGCTCGCAAGCAAGCTACACAAGCCCTGCAGTAATTATTACTTTTAAGCACCAATCTTCTATGATATTTATTGTTGTTCTACTTCTTTCGCAGTTTGTTGCTATTACCACTGACTATAAGAACCTGAAGAAGGAAGGTCCAGACTTTTGAACCACACAGCAGAGTCAAGCAGGGGGAAAAAATGAAAATCCTGGATTTCAATATCTGCTTTCCTCTCTATATTTTCTGACATCAACACTGCAGGTTTTGGTGAACCGAGCACAAAATCAAAATGTATAGATGTGTGGTTTGAAAAAGCAGCTGACTGCTTGGTAAACCCAACAGGAAATATTTACATATGCTTATTGAAAGATATTCCAAAAAGCACAGTGGATGCCACATTCATGCACTTCTTATGCTTATGTATTTTCCATGCAAAAAACTGGGTTATTTTTCAAGAAGTCTTAGTTTAAGAACATGGCCTTGTTTTAGACATTTTTTTCCACAACAATTTTCACCACAAAACATATTAAAAAAAATGCATAAAATTTTTTTTAAAAATCACTCACATAGCTCTTACTCCTTCAGCATTTCATCATAAATGTAAATAGCATGTAAAAAATGTTGAGGACCAAAAGCACCAAAACTAGACAAGCAGCCTTGGTTTAAAAAAATATTGATGTTTTCTGAACATGAAAACATTAGATGTTCATCTTACACCTTTGATGTTTTTCCATGTGTTTCCTACAGCAGCTTTTATTTTTCTAGCCTCTTATAGAACAGCTGCAGTGTAACCTGACATCAAAGGTCCAATCATTGTGCGCTGCTGCTTGTATTTCATAACTGAGACGTGACCGTACGTTTAGCTGCCACTGAACTGAACAGTTATCGGCTCAGTCATGAAAGCAACAGCTGCATTAATTACAGTGTATTCTTTCAATAAATAAACTGATCTTTGTCTGCAGAAGTGTCATTTTTTGCAAGGGGGCTTACGGATAATGGGCAGGTGATTTTTGTTATGCACCTGCATCTTTTTCCACAAACTCAGCAGCTCTGATGAAGCTGAGCCATCTGCTGGCAGTACGGCTGTCACTTAGCAGGCTGAATGATGCTTAGAAAGTGGGTCCACATTTACACTGCATGTGCTGGTGTGAGAGAGAGACAGCAGCCCACCATCTGTAACAACAGTGACAGGATTGTAAGCAGTCTGACCCTATGTGAGTACTAATGTGAACATATATACATGACCTGAACACACACACTATTCATAGGGGGATTGGTTGGTCTTTTATATTTATATTTAGGGTCCAGTTGTCCTGCTTTCTTTTTATTTGCTCATCTTCTCTTCATCTCTTAATGTAATTATTCCGATGATCTAAAACATTTTAAGGTATAGTGGGTGATTTTTGCAAATTTTTTAAAAGACCACTCCTCTCCAATAAAAAAAAATACACATGAACAACTCTGTTTCTCAGTTTTTGCATCCCTCATAAAAGCTTACTTTCCAAAATAAGATTTGCAGTTTTTTTCTAGATTGACAACTAGAAGGACCACTTATTTTGATGATCCACCCGGTAAAAGAACATCCTCCACTATACATTTAAGTTGAACGAAAAGCAGAAACATAAATCTTTTTCAAGCACAGCATAAGGAGAACGAAAAAAAAACGTTTTAACGTGTTTTTTTTTTAATATATAGTTCTTTTTTATTTATAAAAGCTGATGATTTGAACTGTACAGAGTTAAGAAAATAGAGACAAACACAATATCATCATTTCTTACGTCGCAGGAAATACTGTTTTAATTAGAGATCTAATGTGATGAAGTGAGGGAACGGAGGCTCAAGTGGGCTATTGAGGAATTTTAAGTGCATTAAAATCTCTCTAGGACGAGTTGTCAGGTCATGAGAAAAATTCAGCGAGGCGAGGCAGGTCATCAGGTCATTGTGCTGTGATGCTGCTTGTGTGACTGTCAGAGGGGTTTGGGGGTTTTCTGACGACACAGCTGAGAACTCAGCCCGACCTCTCTGACCTTCACTTCTGTTGTTTATTTTTTCTCCATAGAGGAAACACATTCCTCTGGCAGTAACAGAGGCAACATGCTTCTGTTCAGAGAAAAGCAAGTTTCAGGCAGATGATCCACAGCAAATACAATCAGTTTGTTAAATGATTATTTAGCGCATGCATGTTCAACATCACAAGTCGTATTCATTGCCAACTTTGCGTCTCTTTGTTAAGCTCTTTGTGCATAAAAGTTAAATTTCTTTTAGAACCTCATGAGTTCTTCCACTTTCTCTAAAAATGTGTTAACGTTAGAACATCTTTTCATGTTTCATGGAGAGAGATGCTCTGATGGCTGTGACAAAAGGCTTGAATAATAACTAATGCATTTACTGAAGGCTTAATGACAAGGGTGCTGATGAAGCAGAGGACTCTCATCCTTCTGCACTCATGACAGTCTGTTCTACGACTGGCTGACAGTGACATGAGGATGTCGTGTAGGGTAACATCAAATAAGCATAAATCTTTGTTTCCTCTCTGTAGTAATAAATTATTGGAGTTTATATATATATTTCCATGCTAATTATTTTGAAATGAGATGTTCATAATTTTTTTTTATGACAGCTCTGCACCCCTATCAATCCTTCACCCAGTTTGCAAGTGTTTGACCAAATACCAGGTTTTAGCTTTCTGTGTGGTTCTGAGGGGATTTAGGCCCAGTCTCGTTTTAACAAAGCTTGTTTCTATTCTATTTTATGTTTGCTTAGGTCTATGTACTCCAAAGACTTAGATATGTTAAATAAAGTAAAATAGTTTGTAGTAAAAAGTAAAAAGCTTTCAAATTATACTGTTCTCAGTGCAATATGCAGCAAAGACATCCCACATCATGATACAACTTCCACCATTTTTCTAGTATGGGTAGAAACTTTAAGAGCCAGCAGTAGCTTGTTTCAAAACAGTTTTTTTTCTTGTATTGTTATGAAAAATAATTTTTTGAATTGCAGAATTTACCTTTTAAATTCTAAATTTTGAATGTTTTTATATTTTTATTACTCAAAGTTCATACTTGTAAAAAGGTCATCCAAATAACATTTTTTTTTTTTAGCTTAACTTTTTTGTGGTGGAAATATTTTTTATTCCCCCCCCTACAAAAAAGTATTCATTCATTTTTATTTCTGAATATGATCTGTAGTGAGAGTTTAAGACTTTAAAACATTTATCCCAGACTCTAGCCTTCCAGACCTACTTTTTCTCCCTGTTGTCTATTGCCATTTTACTTTACTATATTCTACGAACAACAAGAGGAAATGACAGCAGGAAATACCAGCTACTTCATACAGCTTAGTGTTTATAAGCCACAGAAGCTTTTCCCTTCTTAAATGTCCAAAACAAAACAATTATCCTCATATCTGACCGAGAAATCCACATTTACGCTTGTTTAGCTCTTTACTGTAATTACACATCATTTACTTCAGAACTCTCTTACTGTAGTAATTAAGACTGAAGTTAAGATATTACTAACAAAATTCAGCCAGTTTTGAAACAATAAAAGTCATTCTTTACTATGGACAACAAATAACACTTTAAAAACTTTTATTACACAGCCTCTCACTAAAAGGATCTGCTGGGTAGAATGGTGCAAAGATAGTACAGAAGGTGCATCCTTTCACTTGTGTTTAATAAAATCTTTCACCCAACAGTTTGTCTTGTTAATATTTGTAACTCATCTTGAAAATATCACTTTCTCATTTATTTTAGGTCTGCATTGGTATCTTAACAGGTAATAAAACATTTCAAAACAAGTCATCGTCCTGCAAACACGTGTTCATGGTTTATTCATGTGTGACTTTCATCAACAATTATACTGAGATGCTGTTTTTTCACAGGTTTACATCAACAATTAGCTTATTATCTTACACAGCAGCCATGATTAATGAAGGCATCAGATGAAACTCTTTTACAGAAATGATTGTGACCTTTGTTTACTTTATTGATTATATCATCATAAGCAGAAATGTGAACAATGATGCAGCGTGATAGAAAAGAAAAGTGATATTGCTATATAACAGTTTGTCAGGGTGCCAATATGCGTGTCATTTCTAATGGTCTGTGAATCCTGGCATGGGAAAGGGTCTGGCAAATAGCTCCACCCGATGGCGGAGCTCTGCAATGAGCTTCACTGTATCTGGGTCCTTTAGCAGGAAAGTCTTGAAGCTGGCTAAGTTTCCTGTTGGGGAAAATAAAATGAAAGAAATAAAGGTTTGTATGTTTGATAGCGAAAAAAGCTGCAAACGTTGTACAATGTATCACAGGCTGTAAAAGTGTACAAGGAACAAGGAAAACGTACAGCTTTAAAAGGATTGAGAGGTTAAAAGAAAAAAAGTAAAAATGAGAGTCTTGAGGTGATTCAGAAGACGTGGATAAACGTTTGAGTCAGAGCTTCAAGATGCACCACACACAGAAATGGTCTTCTACTGCTTCATTTCCTGGGTTAAACCTGAACCTTAAACATCAAATACAATCTGGGCTTGGAAGGAAAAAAACTGACTTGCTCAGCTGCTAGATTATGAGGAAGTCTAAAGATATACAGAAATCTGAATGCTGAAATTTCAGCAATCAGAGGTGATCACAGCTTTGTCGCTCCTATAACTTTCACATTTTCTGAAAAACATAAATTTTTATTTCATTAGTTTTAAGACTTAATCTTAAAGTTTCATTTTGTGTGTGTGATGAAACTATATAATATATAAGTTTACTTTTTGACTCAAATTCAATTAGAAGTGTTAAATAAAATCCCATGTTGGGTTTAGTTATGCAGCAAAACAGTAAAACTGTCTCACCAGTTTTCTTCTTTGCACTTAAAGCGATCTGTATCCCTTCATCAATGAAGTCCACAACCTTTTCAAAGTCTGCCTCCTTAAACTGTCGAGAGGTCAGAGCTGGAGCTCCTTTAGCAAATAAAAAAGGAGTGAGGAAACGAGACAAGCAAATAACAATAGAAAGAAATGTACGCAGTCTTTTATTTCATTACTTTTATATTAAACATTTCTTAAAGATTAGGAAATCTGAGGTTTAAAATAGGACTTATACAGGAAGTTTTTAATATAAGAAATTAGTTTTACCGAGCCTGAGTCCGCCTGGTGTGAGGGCGCTTTTGTCTCCTGGACAGGTGTTCTTGTTGGCTGTGATGGACACCAGCTCTAGCACCCTTTCTGCTCGAGCTCCATCTATCCCCCGAGGTCGAAGGTCAACTAAGACAAGGTGGTTGTCTGTTCCACCTGTGAGGAGGAGGTGGAGGAGAGGGAATGGTAGAAAGCGTCATCAAATTTACTTTGGGAACATCTCACTGAATAAAATCAGTGGTTTCTTCTTCCTCCGTTCTAACTCGTTTGCTGACACTGGAAAAAGTTAACTCTCCCTTTTTGAAATTCTTTCCAGTCTTGTTTCTTTTCCATTCAAAACTAAACTCAAACCTTACTTTTAAAAATGTGAAAAGCAGAAAGCAAATTAGTTTGCAGTGAATAAAAAATAGACAACTGCATCATGTACCTAAGAAGTGCTTTTGGCATAATGATAGAGGTGAAGAAGTCATTTCATGAGATCTTTTATCTGTCTGTTAATGTATATGAAATAATCACCTGAGACCAGCGTGTAGCCTTTCTTCAGCAGAGCGCCGGCCATGGCTTTGGCGTTTAGAAGAACCTGAGCGATGTACTCTTTGAACATGGGAGTGGAAGCCTGCAGAGACATGATATTATGCTGCGTCAAAGAGGAACTCCATGGCAGGACTTGAATGTTTTATGCATGAGCTGCTTAATTTAAGTTCTTTTTTATTATAGTCCCCGAGGATTTTCTCTCTTATTACATTTATTACAAGATATGACTGAATATCTGAATGAAACATTCATCTGGACCTGTCTGAGCGCCACAGCCACCCCAGCTATAGCGTGATTGTGCGGTCCTCCTTGCAGTGACGGGAACACAGCAAAGTTCACCCTGTCCTGGAGGTCATAGAGCACCTCTCGACCTTTGGCATCCACGGACCGTACACCTTTCCGGAAGAAGATCAGACCAGCCCTGGAGAGTGGAAAGAATAAAACAGATCCCTTCCTCTATTGATTTGTCCCAAAAAAATTAACGCTGGATTAAATGAAAATCTGAAATAACCCACCTCGCTCCTCTCAGGGACTTATGGGTAGTGGATGTGACCAGGTCAGCATATTTAAAAGGAGAAGGAACAGCTCCAGCAGCCACAAGGCCGCTGATATGAGCCATGTCAGCCAGCAGGTAGGCGTTCAGCTCCTCACACAGCTGAAACACACACAGACAGAAATGTTCCAGAGGAAGTGGATAACCGTAATTCTTCATCCACCATTTGGGTTAGTAAACAGATTCACAGAAACCATTATGCATTGTGAGAGGACCTGTTTCATGCGAGCGTAGTCGATGAGCCGAGCATAGGCGCTGGTTCCTGCAATGATGAGTTTGGGTCTGAAGAGGCGGGCCGTCTTCTCCAGCTGGTCATAATCAATCAGACCTGTTTGAGGCTAATTTGGCCAGAAAAAAACCAAACCAATCCGTTACCAGCAGTCCTTTTCAGGATCACTTTCTGAAGTTCACCAACTACTCACATTCAACTTGTATGGCATGGATTCAAAGTAGATGGAGGTGGCTGAGATTCTCTTGTTGTCCGTCATGTAGCCATGGGTCAAGCTGGAACAAAGTAGAAGTAATGTACAAATCAGGCTAATGTAAGCTGAGCTGAGTTCCTCTGCTAACATTATCCAACCAGTCTGAATCTGAATAAATATGTTTTAAGTTGCATAGAAGCTTAAAGCAGGATTGTTTATTAAACAATATTCCAAGCTTTGAACATTTCAGAGGACTCCAATTAATTCTCATAAAATGTAAACCCTATCATACAACTGCAACCCCCCCAAAAAAATCACGAATAAGAGATCTGGAGGAGCTGCAGATATGCAGCTATCCCCACATTTAAACACGGTGGTCGCAAGATCATGCTGCAGGGATGCGTTCATAAGCAGGGATATAAATGCTGGTCAGAGTTGATGGCAGGACAAAAACCCTCAACACACCGCCATTTTTCAAACAAGATGGCTTACACTAAAGTATATGAATGAGTTAAAAGGGCCCAGGCAAAGCCACACAGAAACCAAACTGAAAACCTTCAGCAAAAAAAGCAATAAGAGGCATACCTCAAAGTATTTTAGATTACTCTATACTGAGCTATATTAGTAAAAAGAAAAACAGAAAATGAAATTATATTTAATCATATTTGCAATAACTGCTTAAATCCAACAGCAACTTAATGTTTTCTTTATGATAAGGCAGAAAAAAAAGGTTTGTGGACTGGAATCAGACAGATGTAAATGCATTAGCGGCACACATATGAAACAAAACCTTAACACAAATCTATCTATTCTGTCTTTTTGGTTCCTCAGCAGCTAACCTCCCTTCATGTTAACTTCATTTCCTTCTGTCCTGTGACTGCCTGTGAAATTAAAATGAGCTCATTTCAAAGCTGCTGTCATCGCATGACAGCTCCAGTCTATGAAACCAAACTTTATCACTCTCACTATTTCTTGTTGTTAAGTCCATAAAGAGCCTTAGCAGAGAAAAACTGACGTTGGCTTGTGATACAAATAGCTAAACTGTGTCGACTAATAATGTAGAATCTGTCAAACCGGTGAGAATATATGAAGCGTGAAATGAAAAACTGAGCTATTAGAATAAAAACTGTAAAACGTTTATATAATATCAAGATAGGAATTGATCATGTTATCAAAGTAATCATGCCACACATTTGTTTTTGTTCAATTATTTGTTTAAAATATGTGTTTTTCCTCAGCAGGATTTCAATGTGTTTTATTTTATAGTATTGAATCACAAGAAAGATTACAGTCAATGTTATTTTTTCACAAGCAGCTGTTATTGCTCAGAGTAGATAAATAAATAAACATTTATCAGGATATAATGATAAAACTTTAACTGACTGTCCTCCATCAGGCAGATCCAGGCCCATGATTCGGTCATGAGGCTTCAGCACAGAGGTGTAGGCTGCAAAGTTGGCTGGAGAGCCTGAGTATGGCTGGACGTTGACGCCCCACAGATTGGGATCCAGGCCGAAGACAGTGAGCGCTCGTCTCTGACACAGCAGCTCAATCTGGTCAACAATCTCAGCTCCACCGTAGTACCTGAAAAAAAGAATCATAGAACAAAACAAAAAGAAAACGTGTCTCAGAGGCTTCGTCTCATTTACAACCGTTCTTTGTATTCTATTAACATGCATCATCAATAATTCAACTTTTTTTTAAATCTAAAATACATGGTATCTTATTAAATTGACTGTTTGTGGAATTTATTTTTCCAGCTTTTGTATTTTTGCATTAAAATGATTATACTGTAATGTTTATCCTATCTATTTTTATTTGGCTGTATCTTATATAACATCCAGTTGTACAAAATCGTATCATTTGACACAATCTAAACAGGAACAGTTTAGCCTTAATCATTCTGTATCACACAGGTATTTTTTTTATATGATGCCAATTTGTTTTATTAAGAATGCTAAGGGGAGTGTTTTTAATGTGAAAGGATTCATAAAAGGTACAGAAGTTTTTTTTTTAAACCACACAGAGGTTTAACCTTTCTATCCTCAAGGTTTATCCTTAAATCTTGAATTGTTGCTGTATTCATAGCGCAATAGAGATCAAAAAAATATATATGTCATACTCTGTAATGTAGATGGTAATCCATAACCTGTTTCCATTGTCTCTTTTTCTAATTTGCATGCTATTTTGTTTGTTAATTGGGATGTAACCGCTTAAAATTAAACTATTTCCCATAGTTGTCACTTGGTTATTGGTTTCCTTTCGCTTTCGTCATATTAGTTGTTCCCAGCCCTGTTGTATTTTCCTGCTTACTCGTTTTTGCCCTCTACTGCTACTCTCCTTTCAGTTCAGCTCTCTTCTAGCTGCTTTTATCTATACCTGCCCCCAATTAGCTGATTACACGAGTCATTGTTCTGTCTCCCATATACACTCTTCCTCTGAAGTTAATCATTTCTTGGATTCTCTTTATTTTCTCCTTTAGTGTCTCCTAGTGACGGTTCTTGAGTTCTTTGCATGTATTTTCTGGATTTATGCTTCTGTTACTGTCTTCTTTATCAGTAAATCTACAGGAAACCATACTGTATCTGCTTTCTGTCTCTGAATTTGGATCCTCATATTTGTTCATCTGAAAGGTTAACCCGCATTCTTTGCTGCTGCAGCCAAATTTTGAGGCCCTATAGGTAGAATCCTGCAAGGTTTTGGTGTTATTTTGAGGTTCATGATGAAGGAAATTTGTATTAAAAACTGGAATTCAAATAAATTAATGGTTTTAGTTCTTATTAACTTTCCCATCACAGTATGTTTCAGCTTCTGCATCCATCCATCATGCAAAATCAGAACCACATTCTGTTAAAGACATAAAAAACTGTACTGCTTTCAACAGAACAATCTTTCTGTTTAATCTCCTTCAGTCCATCCATTTCTTCCACGTCAGGGCCGGGTTGTGGAGGCAGCAGTCTAAGCAGAGATGCCCAGACTTCCCAATCCACACACACCTCCTCCAGCTCTGGGGGGGACCCCGAGGCGACACCAGGCCAGCTCAGAGACATAATCCCTCCAGCGTGTCCTTGGCCTTCCACGAGGCCTCCTCCCAATAGGACATACCTAGAACACTTACCGAGGGAGGCAACCAGGAGGCATCCGGAACAGATGCCTGAGCATTCTCAGCTGGCTGCTTTCGACATGGAGGAGCAATGACTCTACTCCAAGCTCCTCCTGGGTAACTGAGATCCTCACCCGATCTCGAAGGGTGCACCCAGCCACTCAGCAAAGGAAACTCATTTTGGCCGCTTGTATTCACGATCTTGTCCTTTTGGTCATTACCCAGATCTCATGATCATAGGTGAGGGTGGGAACATTGATCGATCGGAGCTTTGCCCCCAGACTCAGCTCTCTCTTCATTACGACAGTCCTATACAGCAACCGCATCACTGGCGAAGCTGCACTGATCCGTGTATCGATCTCACACTCCATCCGTCCCTCAATCGTGAACAAGACACCAAGATACTTGAACTCCTCCACTTGAGACAAGGACTTTCCATGGACCTAGAGAGGGGAGTCCACTCTGTAGGGACCTGGAGCTCCTGTCTTCTGGGAGAAAATTCACTACAGAAAGAAAATGGTTCAGGATCCACATAAGAGTCTGGGCACCATCCCCTATCCAGCACAGCATTCAATCAAGTCAACAAATCGACTTATATTAACCTTTTATGTAAGACATGCACGTTTACTATAACTCTGTCTACTGTTAAACCTTCATACTCCTCTAACATCAGGGACTTGGAGGTTCATGGCGCAGAAACATGAATCTGGTTTTTCAGAGAATTTTTAAAATTTAGTTTGTTGCTGTTTTTTTCTTTCTGCATTAATCATACATTTGTCAAGTTGTATTTTGAATTTGCGTTTTGACTGAAGGATTTAGGAATGACAGTCCTTTAACATTTAGAGAGGTGTTTTCTATTTTAATTGGGCCAGCTTGGAAGGCATATGGACATACCTAAGAGAAAAAAAAGGAAATCAAAAAATTTTATGTCAAAAACTGCTGCATTCCCCACAAATGACGGTATGACTGTTTTCTTTTTAATTATCTAATAATTTTCTAGGAATGAGTCTTTGCCGTAATGACATCTTTGAAAACTTACTTTCAAGCTTAATTTTAAATAGTTCAACCTGACACAATTACCTGTATGGATGTGTTTTAGATGATGATAACATCTACTGATTGAGCTCTGTTTTTGTTGTTACCTTTGCCCAGGGTATCCCTCAGAGTATTTATTGTTCAGACAGGAACCCTGTGCCTCCAGGGCTGCACGGCTGCAAAAATTCTGACAGGACAAACAAGCACAGTGTCAGCCTCTGCACATATGCCTTAAAAAAATCAGAAAAGACAACCCAAATATAGCTTTATTTACCCAGAGAAGGCTTTGCTGCCTTAGACTGTATCCACAATATAAATTTAGCTTCCTTCATGCTTTTAGGTCGAATTAACTTTCACATTCCGCTAAAATAATCAACAAAAAAAAACAATTGTTTTCTATGTTGTGGTAAAGATAACAAAAATTACTCTAAATAGTTATGTATTTTGTTTGCGTCTCATAAGTGGTTTTCTAAGGCTTTTTATCTAAGAGGGGAGGAAGCTGCAAAGCTGAATGCAAATGAATTTTCCTCCTTCTGACAGTCTTTTCTCTTCTCCCACTCTCACTTCAGCTTTCTTTTTTTTTTTTGTTCCCCTCTATTCTCTTTCTTTCCCTCAGCCACCCAACCCCCCAGAAGTCTTATTATACTAAACCTGTCACTGTTCAGGGATCCTTCAATCATCCTAGTGAGGTTTAAAACAAGCTGTCTTAAACTAAAATTCTCTCTGTGACATTCTGAAAAACTATCTTGACACAAAAATACACACTCCAACTGAACTGCCCCTCCTCCTCTCAGAATAGGAGAGGGGATCAATAAAGAATATAGGTGAGGAAGTTAATAGGATAATATGACACTGTTCTAAAAAAGCAGGAAGCTCTCCTCTGGGAGTCAGCCTGCGGTAGTGAATGACTGTCATCAATCGCACATGAAAAACTTTTTTCTTTGTCTTTATGGATGATAGAGTTTTGGGTTCATAATTGCTGCTTAATAGAAGAGATGCAATTCAGTTAACATTTTTTTATCTTCTAGTTAGCCTGGATTGTTTCGAAGGGATGACAGTTGAAGAGAAAACATCAACAGCATATCGAAAATACTTTGAGTCGTAAATATCTAAAGTTTGTTGACAGGTGATTTTAGAGCTGAGGGGGAATTTTATGCAACTCGTTTTGCTTTTCTTGCTTTTTGATTCATGGACTCTGTTTAAACTCTAGTTTTCCAGACAAAAGCCTTTTATTTGAACAGAAAAGCCGTGTCCTGAGCTGAATTAAGTTTAATGAGAAATTAAAATGAATTGAGTTAAAGGATCATATCAAAGCATTTCGACACCCGGTGAAATATTTAGATCTTTAGCAGATTTTTTTCTGTTGAGAATGTGCTGGTTGTTATAGTACTTAAGCACCAAGATTGGCCTTGTTTTAATAATCAAGCAAAATACCTAGTTTCACCCCTTTAGTTGAGAAAACACCAATGAGAATATTATCATAGCTATCAAACAGTTTCTGACATCAGCCCCTCCCCTGCAGCTTATTTGCATCTATAGCTTGTTTCAAGTCACCCCACAGCACCTCCATGAGATCAATATCTGGGCTTTAATTCACTCATGACTTTTCTTTGATTCTTAAACAGCATAGTGAACCACATGCTTTCAGTCACTGTCATCTTTCAGGGTCAAGATCTGCTTTCAGTATATCCATCTCTTTTCCATCACGCTTATCCCAAGGCAAAGTACATCCTGGACAGGTTGCCAGTCTATCACAGGGCAACACAGAGACAAACAGGATAAACAACCATTCAACCATTCAAATTCACACCTAAGGAGAATTTAGAGAAGCCAATTAACCTAACAGTCATTTTTTTGGACTGTGGAAGGAAGCCAGAGTACCCAGAGAACCAGTGCATGCTCAGGGAGAACATGCAAACCCCATGCAGAAAGACCCCAGGCTGGGAATCAAACCCAGAACCTTTGTGCAGCAAGGCAGCTATGCTAACCACTGCACCACTGAGCAGCTCTGAGTTTATTCTTTAAATAATTGTCTCTCAATAATCTTTCTTCTGATTCACACAGAATTCATTGTCCATTCCTGCAAACCATAACTCTAGCACCTCCCTGCTTCACAGTTACCATAGGGTTTTATCCCTGAATACTCTATTTGTTCTATGCCAAATATATCTGTACTGTTAGCTCCATCTGTCCAGAGAAGTTCTAGTCTTTCTCTAGCCTTCCTCCGTATCACCTTATATGAACTGAAATGAATGACTGAGGTATAGTCATGGCACACCTTCTTTAAAATGCTGAGTAACACTTTACTAATCATGAGCTCCTGATATGATACTGCTTTGTACAAGCTGAAACCTTTTTAGTTACAATAAAGATAAACAAATTCTTCTCAGGAAAAAAATATTATTTAAGATTAAAATAATAAAGTGATTTCTTCTATTTCATTGTCTTTATTGCTAGATATTTTTCAGTATTGTTAAAACTAAAGTTAAACACCCTTAAGTCCAACTGTGTAAAAAAAAAAAGATTTCTTTTAAACCCAGTTTTTGTATTAACATGGCTGCACTGTTGTGTATAAATGTCTGCTGCACAGAATGTTTATGGATTGATGGGTCTGCTTTGCTATGTTCAACCGGTGCAAACAGAGGTGAGGAAAAGCTCCATCAATGCACTGGAAAGAATCAAAAGCTAGATAAGTAATTGTTCCTTAAAATAAGTGCATGTGTTCTTGGATTGAGGAGGTAAGTGAGATACTTTGTCAACAAGAAAATTTACACTTAAAATAAGAAAACACAATTGCAATGTCTTATTTCAAGTGCATATTTTCTAATGATCTTATTTTAAGGGTAAAAATAATCATTCCATTGGCAAACTATGTCATTTATCTACCTTAATTAAGGATAAATACACAATACAATTTTTACTTATTTCTAGATTGCTTTTCCAGTGTGGAACTGATAAGAGGAAAAACTGAACACTTATTCTCTAAATGCTGTTCTGAGTGGAGTTCACCTGTCCAAACCAGTTGTTTTAGCAGCACCATTTTCACACATGGACTGTGCATGAGTCCAAGCAAAGAGCAAATATTTAAACAGTTACAACTGAGGGTCTGCAGCAGACCAGTGAACCCCCCCCCCCCCCCCTTTTTAAAAGTTTGATCCTCCTATGCAGCTTAACACTTTTTCCTGCAGCTCACAGTCTGCATTCTCACCTCAGAAGCAATGAGCTCCAGTCCCCGACACTGTCTGTCCTTCTCTTGCTGCAGGAGACTCCACATCTCTGGGTCATCCTGGGCCAGACTCTCCTGTCCTGTCCACCTGCCACTGCTGTGCTTTAGCCTGCATGATTCTGAAGCAAGCTGCCCCTCTCTACCCAAACACCTTGAGAGTCTGGGGAAGAGGGGCTTCAACACAGGACGGAGGAAGACAAACAAATTAGAATTTCAGTTCCTAAGTAAACATGTACCTCTTAAATAATGAATGCTAAATCCTAGGGAAAAAATCCTACCGTGTTTTATATTGTTCAGACAGAGTTTAAAAAGCAAAAAAAAAAAAAGCAACGAGAAAGGTCTTTTGGTTTCTTTTAAAATGCTCAAAAAGGTTAGTCTTGGTGAAAAAAAATGCTTTCATCATTTGAAATGATTATAGTCTGCAGGCATGTTTTGAATGAATGTGTTCGAATAATGTGTCTTTTGATGTTCTGAGCGAACCATTAGGTGAAAGGCAGGGCAAAAACAAACATGTCATTCAGCGGAGCAGTTATGGAAAACCTTGGACTTGTAAAGTCTATGCAGGCTGAACAGGGTCTTGTTTGTAGAAGCAGGTATGCATTATGTGTAACCAGGGGCTACTTTGCTCTTGCAGACAATTCACTGCAAAAGTGGAAATATGCACTAAAATAAGCTTCTTCAACCTTGTCATTCCCTTTATAGCACATCTTGCTACATGATCAAACCCTTCAACAAGTAACATATGTTTAAAAAACACCTGACTGGTTTCCACACATATTTGATGTTAGAAATGAAACAATGCATGTTCCTGGAAGGCAGTTCTAGGGCTGAGAGGAACTGGAGTGACATGCTGACCTAGTTTGCTGTTTTTAAGTTATTTAGTAACAACCACTCAGACCATTAGAGAGGATTAACAAAATAGCATTAACCAATATACAGTTGCATCTTTGTGCAATGAATTTTTAGACAAATGTACTTACCCTTAGTGTCTGCCGCAGTGACAGAGAGAGCATGCTTGTGACAGCAGAGATCTGGGGAAAACTGAAAACTTTCAAGGTACAAAGGGTGAATGCACAATCATACTGGAACGATGCCAGGTACATGTGTACTCTGTCACTGATAGGATAAAAAGTGCAATAAATCTGCCTCTGGATTAGTTCTTTGAAGATAAAAAACTGGAAACAAGTGTTGCATCTTAACAACAAAGAAGAAGGAAGGAAATAGTTTCTCGAAGAAAAAAAAAATGATTAACATTCAACAATCAAGAAGGCTGCTTTAGATTAATAAATATGTACAATATTAACTGTCACTGGCAAGAATAGAGTAAAGAAAGTTTTTATATTTAAACACGGTAAAATGAAGTTTAGAAGATATAATTACAGAGGATGATGTATCGATGACACCTGTGATTTTTTGGGGGGGAAAATATGAATATTGTGCTAATAGAAGCAGTTTTTTTCTATTGAAACTATTCACTAAGCCTTGGCTCAACTGCTTCCTTAAACGTGCTTTCCTAATTAGAAATGATGCCAGATGCCTTTTCACTCTTTTGCTTTGAATCCCTGGATTTGTATAGATGTATGAAGAATATACAATATAAACAGAAAACGTTCCACTATCAGTGTCTCTGATCATCCGAGGTGCTGCTGGTTTTGCTCTGCCTGAAAATTGTGATCCGGACAGACCTTCTGCACCAGCCTGTAGTCTGTTCCGGTAAAAGCGATAAAGATGCATATAACCTTGTAGGGTTTGGCACAAATCCAAGCTGCCTGGGACTGTGTGTTTTCAGAGTAGCAGGTCTGTCCTGGGTCGTACATGCACGGCTTGGTCTTCTTGGAGCGGTTGGTTCGCTGGTATTCAATCCGGCAGTTAAGCTCGGTCACCATCATCATGTCTCTTTGGGTTTTCGGATGTTCAACAGGCGTGGAGCTGGTAGACGGAGGGGGGCTCAGATCTGGGAACAAGACAGACTCTTTACTGCTGCTGCTGTCAGCGGTGTCATCCAGAACCTCCCATCCTACCGTTTTGGATGGTGGAACAATGCTGACGGATATGTTTCCGAGACGGGATGAATTGTGGCGGAAGTAGACGCTGAATGTCCCATTAATGTGGTCCACAATTTTCCCAGTCACCAGGAGGCTGAACTTCACAGTTTTTACGTTGAAGTAGAAATCCCCCCAGCCAAGGATCTTCTTGGCCTTTGGGGAGGTTTTGGCAGGAGGCTTTGATTTGGGAGAAGTGCCATACAGGTACTGGTCTGGAGCTTGTGAGAAGTTCTGTGGCCAGCCATAGGGGCTCAGGGAGCCATATGTGTGTGTTTTGTGCTTGGTGGATATGATTTGTAGGTCTTTGGATACATGTTTAACCTTCAAAGCTGCTCCTTGAATTTCTCCCCCTGCCTGCACTTCCCTCCACTGCTGGTTCTTCAGATCTAAAGGCCTGGAGGACTCTTGTTCCTTCAATAAAAGAAAACAAAACCTAGTTACTCTTAGAGTCTAACAGTATTTCTAATAACTTATTAATAATTAATAATTAATTAATCAAGACAACAGTACAGCAATAGTTCTTTTAAACTACTGGAAACTTAACTGAAGCTTTTTCATATTGTGTCAAGTAACAACTAAGACTTAATTGTATTTACTGTTTTACTGGTCTTTGGGGTTTTGCAGGTTTGTTTTGGTGTGAGTGTGCTTCCTGTCAGAGAGAAGATCTTTGCTGTCGGCTGCGTGGACCCCTGTTACCGGAGACCTGAGAACATTTCTCAGTCAAGATGACTAGTGTGTATATAAGGAGGGGAAGGATAATCTCTCTTTGCTGGATGATTACCCCTGATGGTATTACAGCCAAAGACTAAACCAGGAATATCCTTCTTGTTGAAATGTGTATTCTTGTGAATCTCATTTAATGTGTAGTCTGCTATTGCTCCAGACAACCGGTGAACTTCAGTTCATCTCTGATCTTCATTGAAAAGGTTTTACCTGTGTGCATCAGATATCAGTCATCATCATCTGCCCGCCCGCTCTCCAGAACAACGTCTCTTGCTAGTACCGAAGCTCTGGGATCTCAATCACATTCTCCTGGACCTCTGGGGTACAGTCTGCAAAGCCCGCTGAATCAAACCCCTACAGATCCATGCTACCTTCCCTTCATCTCTCACCTAAGGAAATCAATTAGTCATCAGTTACCATGAACCAATTCCTTCCTGATCAATCTGCTTTCTCCCATCAGACCAACATGAAAGTTCAACTGACTTCCTGCAGTTTTCCACTTCCGGATTCTGGTTGCTTTTGTAAATAAAAGGTTAAAACTCATTGGTTCTTCATATGATTCGGCATGTGGGTCAAAAAAACTACAAACCAACATGACATAATCATCAGGCTTGTCTGACCCAGCAGAATCTCCCTCAGGTCTTTGCACTGAACGTGAATTACTTAATCACCATGATCAGGTAATCCGCTCATTAGATGTTTAGTTCAGCAGATGGAGCAGTTTTCAGAAATGTTTCAGGAGCAGGTTGTCACCTCAGGAACAAAGTTGGATAGGAAACTGGACTCTGCCTGTATTCCGGTGAAAGTGGTCCCTTCAAATATTCACATGAACTGCAAAGACTATAGATTCATAGAGCAATGGTCTGTGAAACTGTCTACGATCTGCCATGTCTCCAGTCTTAAATTCTCAAGAACAGAGAGAGGTCTGCAATAGACCTCTCCCTGGTTTCACCTGAGTATCATGACCTTCATCTGGTTTTCAGTAAGTCTAAGTCTCTCTCTCTCCTCCCCCACCACCCATATGACAATGCTATTGAGCTACTTCCTGGAGCTCCTCTCCCCTCCATTAGGTTGTATAACCTGTCCAAACCTGAGACAGAGTATGTAGAAGCACATTAATAAGTCACTAGTTGCTGCTATTATCTGTGGAAATGTCTCACTAATGCACCTGCAGTTTTTGAGTGCTTTGTGAATGAAGTCTTTAGAGATTTTTTTATATCAGTTTTTACCTGTGTACCTTGATGACATTCTGATTTTTTCCCCAGGACTGTATCAGAACATAAGATCCACGTGTGACAGGTTATCCAATGTCTTCTAGAAATCCAAGTCTTTATCAAAGCTGAGAAGTGTGAGTTTCATACCACACCAATCACCTTTTTGGGACTCATTCTCTAGAGTGGGCAGGTAAGGACAGATCCAGAAAAGATTCCATCCATTGTCCAAAATTTCCTGTCATCCTCGAATCAACTGAACTCTTGCACTCCTTAAGCAAAATTTCTGGTGGCCTACAATGTATAAGGCTGTTAAAAGTTATGTTCTAGCCTGTCCAGTGTGTGCCCGCAACAAAGCTAGTCACTAGCCTCCCAGTTGTCTTCTTAAACCATTGCTTATACCTAAACGTTCATGGTCTCATATTGCCTTAGATTTGGTTACCTGACTTCCACCATCTAAGGGTTTCACCACCCTACTTACTATAACTGACCGCTTCCCCAAAGCCAGCCACCTCGTCGTTGACTTCAATCCCGCCTTGAGACCGCTCAGGTCCCGACTAAGCATGTTTTTCGCCTTCATTGAATCCCATGCGAAATCCTTTTGGACAGGGGTCCACAATTTATCTCCAAGGTCTAGAAAGAATTGTGTGCTTCTTTGGGGGCCAAGACTGATCTAAGTTCAGGTTGACCAAACAAATGTTCAATCTGAACGACTGCAGCAGGAGCTTGAGGCCTCCCTTCGCTGCCTGTTTGTCACACCCATGATCACGGAGTCCTCAGTTGCCTTGGGTCAAATATGCACACACTGGAAAAAATCTAAATCTAGATAAGTAATTTTTTCTTAAAATAAGTGTATTTGTTCTTGGATTGAGGAAGTAAAAGAGACATTTTGCCAATAGGACAAGACAATTTACATTTGAAATAAGAAAGTGCATATTATCCAATTATCTTATTTTAAGAGTAAAAATACTCATTCCATTGGCAAACTGTCTCATTTACCTACTCAAAATAAGGTTAAATAAACTTAATTTAAAACAGTTTTACTCCTTTCTAGATTGTTTTTCCAGTGCATAATTGTCACACTTCCTCCGCTACTGCCAGGTCTCCATTTGAGTCCTCTCTACAATAGCAACCTCCCCTGTTTCCATCTGAGGAGCAGGATATTGCAGGATATTGTAAAGAAAAACTTAAAATTTACCGGTCCTTCATGTGATTCTGCATGTTGGTCAAAAAATCTATAAACCAACATGAGATATACTGGGATTTAATTTGACAATATCAAGTCATGCAGGACAGTAGAGTGGTAAGGAACATGGTTTATATATGTGGCATGCATATACGATAATCAGCAAGTTGGTATATTATTGAATGGTAATTTAGTTAACTCCATTGGCAACCTTTACTTCTGTTCATTTAGATCATTTTTGTTTAAAGATAATGAAAACACAACATCAAAGAGGCTATTTTAGCCAGAGGTGAGTAGAGGACTTTACATTTTTATATAGGTATGAGTAGCCCTAATCTTAACTTTATTTTTTACTCAAGTAAAAATAGAACCAAATAGTCCTCGACGAATTTATTAAAGTAAGCAGAGATGGGAAGTAACGAAGTACAAATACTTCGTTACTGTACTCAAGTAGATTTTTCAGATATTTTTACTTTACTTTACTACTTATTTTTATGGCGACTTTTTACTTCTACTCCTGACATTTTTACACAAATATCTGTACTTTCTACTCCTACTCGTTACTTTAGTTTTGAATCATTTCATTGGAGTTACCGTGATTATTTTTCACGTCATCAATACCAAATTCAATCTAATTGGATGGGAATCTACGTTGCATTTGACGCACCACTAAGAGATGAATCAACAGATTCGGCGGTATTCATTTGCGACAAATTATTGCAGCTTGGTGGCGGTGGCGTTAGCATAGTAGTATGGACGACGAGAAGATTGAAAATTAACACAACGGAGATCTAGTCCTATTGGCAGACATCCATTTAAAATGTAGGCAACGGCATGAAAAAAGTGGTTTCTACTTTTACTTTTATACTTTAAGTACATTTACAACCCTGTACTTTGTTACTTTTACTTGAGTAAAGAAGTTTAATCAATACTTCCACTTTTACCAGAGTATTTTTTAACACAAGTATCTGTACTTTTACTCAAGTACAGAAAGTGAGTACTTTTGCCATCTCTGAAAGTAA